AATCCATCGTCCTTATTAATATGTTCTTGATCCACAGTCAAATGCAGCACAAAGTTATCAGTGCTGCTCTTTCACCACCCCCTGTACAGCCTGCACAAGAACAGATCATTCCTACATCAGCAGTCTCTTGAAGACCTTAACAGTAAGTCTGGACAAGGCTCAGACATACAGATTGGTCCCTTCCAGCAAACAGGTTTCCTGCAGGGAGACAGAGCACATACAGATACCTTGCAAGCCTAAAGGTAGGTGAAGAAATTGTGCTGACTATGAGACAAGCTACAGTAATTACCACATCTTCACTGGCAGGTGATTAAGAGATGTAAGACTGGATAAGAGCTCATGCTTGTGCCGGTGAAATATCCCTACTTGAGGTTTCAGAAGTTAAATGGTTGTGCTTTTTTGCCTCTCTATTGTGTTACTACACGTAGGAAAAAGCAGCAAAATGGAAAAACCCTGATGGACACATGGACGGATTAACAACCAATGGCGTGCTGGTCATGCATCCAAAAGGAGGCTTTACAGAAGAGTCTAAACCTGGAGTGTGGCGTGAAATCTCCGTCTGTGGTGATGTGTATACTCTACGAGAAACCAGATCTGCCCAACAGAGGGGGAAGCTAGTAAGTTCAAAGTACATGACCATATTTTAAATGAAATCAAAAAGCCAACAGAGCAGTTCAAGAGATGCAAGACAGGATAAGAGCTCATGCTTGTGTTGGTAAAATATCCCTACTTGAGGTTTCAGAAGTTAAATGGCTGTAACCTAAGTGGCATATTTTAATTTAAGTGGTGTATTTTAAATGAAACCAAAGCTAGCATCAGAAGGTTTTCCTGATGTGGAGAAGTATGGTGATCTAGGTACATGGTACAAAAGAGTCTTTCCCGTGTGTGAGAGTTTTTGTCGTTCCCTGGCAGACTCGGGGCACAGGAAATTCTGTAGCACTGTGCTGCGGTTTATATTGTCAGCACAAGAGCAGTATCTGCATTTTCCATTATTGCCAGTCTTCAGCCAAAATACACGTGCATTGTAAAACCTAAACAACTCTCACTCTTGAGTGGTATGTGCTCTCCTGTGCTGTAATAGGACACAGGGCAGGGGTGGGCAAAATACAGTTTGTGGGCCAAATCTGGCCCATCAGGGGATTCTGTCTGGCCTGCGGTGGGTCCCTTGGCCCTGCCTTGCCCAGGCATGGGGGCAACCTGGGCTACTGCATGTGCAGCCACTCCTGCTGCTCCCAGGTGCATGGCAGGGTCAGTGCAGTGGCTGGACCTGGCTCCCCCGCAGTGGCAGCTCACTCTGCCCAGCTGCCACTGCCAGTGTTTCTATTGCTGCTGGACCCAGCCCCACTGCCTGGGCACCCTGGCCTGTCCACCCCACACCCACTGCCGGGGGCACCAGGTGAAGCGAGCAGGCAAGCGGGTTCTCCGTGGAGACCAGCCCAGACCACCATGGGCAGGATGGACTCAGTCAGATGGGTGGGATTGCCACGGGGCGGGTAAGCAGAGAGTGGCATCCAGAAGCAGGACAGGTAGGCAGGGTCAGGATCATGGGGCAGTGACAGCATGGGGCCGGGGCTTGGTGCAGGGGCGCGATCTGCATGCCCCTGCCTCCCGTCACAGGTGTGCAAGGAGTGGATCATGGTTCTGCCTGAGCCCCAGGCCTGCTCTGTCACCACCCTGCAATCCTGGCAACGTCTGCCCATCCCTTCCAGACACCACTCCCCGCCCATCTGCAGCCCCATCCCATCCCAGCTGAGCGCAAGGTACCCCCTTCCAGAAGAGAGAGAGAGAGACCGGTGAAGAGTTTGGAAGGAGGATACTGTGCATTTGGCCTTCCAAAATGCAGTTTAAAGAACAAACACCTGACTCGGAGCCAAAGCAGTTTCAACTATGAGCCAGAAGGGAAGGAGATCTCGTGGCTAGGTGGGCCCTGATATACTTCAGGGCTTTACAGGTCCGAGTAATGCCATCTGCCTTCTTTGGAAACAGTAAGCAGCCAGTAAGAATGCTGAGACAAAAATGTTTCTGTTTCTGATGAGTAACTAAGGTATGATATGAGACTGATTGGACTTCTCAGTGCATGGGGGAAAATGTCGAGCATTCCTAAACATCCTTAAAAAAGACCAATATCTGATCTGTGTCCACAGTGACCCCCACCTCCACCCGCACTGGTTTTGAAAGCTGGGGGTGGGTATTAGAAACAATTTGGGAAGCTGGTCTTTTTTGGTTGTGACGCAATTTTGTCTTCTGCAGTGTTATTGTGATACCTTCTGGTCTCCTTGTTCTGTCAAAGGTGGTTGCCCAGTACTGCCAAATTGACTTTCCAATTTTGTGGTTTGTACACAAGACTGACTGCTAAAAGAAATGAGAGAAACAGAGGTTGAATACTGTTCTGCTTTCAGCAAGCAGACTGCAGTATAAATTGCTTTGCTTCTTCAGTGGTGGCAGGCAGACATCACCCCGGGGACCAGGACAACTGATGTTGCAGTTGCACCCTTTGTACATGGTTAGCAAAGCACCTTATTAGTGCTGCTAAAAAAAGGCAGCATTAAAATGAATAAGTAGCTTTTCTTGTATCCAAAATTATTTGCATTCTCATTTCAATAAAATTATATGGCATGTTATTTAGTATTGATGTGATCAGTGTTCTCTGATTGGGTTTGTAAAAACAAGTCCGCATAGTTTGCAATGCATTTAATCCATCATACAACGAAACCTTTCCTTTTTCCATTTGCAAAGAAATGCTCTGACAAATGAGATGCTCTTTGTTTTGGCGGATTTCTAATGTAATCGCTGTACTCTATACCTGTGTCATTTAATATCAATTGCTTTTCTCAGTGGACTATTGAATCATTAGCCAGGTTTTTTGTATTAATTGAGATCGCTTACTGTACTTTAAGCCTTGTGCAAAGTTGGGCTAGGTTAAAATACAGTGCCAAATAGGTCATTCCACTGTGTTTTCCTCATAGGGATGCTGACTGAAGTGGTCAGTGTAATGTCCAGGGTATATATTTGGTATAGCAGTACTGAGTGTGTAAGGTTGGATGGGTTAATTATATGCTTCTCCCTCCTGAGTAGCCCGTCGGTTCTCCATTAGCGTCATACACTGCCTTTAATAAGCAATCCACACTCCAAAGGTGATAGCAGAAGCACAAGCCGCTTATGTGTTTGTGACATTAAAACAAGTCCAAAAAAGCTCTATCAAAGCACTATGTTTGATTAGTGTAATCTCTTGAAGCATGGCATAAATAAGCAGCTGCTTATTTTCAGAAGTCAGAAACAGGAAGCCTATAGCCAGCAAGAGCGTGTACTAGATGTCCGTATGTTCACTAGAGGTCTGGTTCCCCATTACCCTCCTCCATGGCTTCTAGTTGCTCTTGAAAATCAGGCAGTGAGCTTTACCTCTCCATTAATGTTACACTGTAATGCCAAAGAGCTAGCAAAGTGTTTCTCTCTGGCTTAGCTACTTGGCTTGTCCCATGACTGAGGTATCTGAGCACTTCACAGTCATTTCATGTGTTGATCCTCCAGAGAGTACAGTTGTTTCCACTGGAACTGAAGCAGGCAGGGGTTAGGTAACTTGTCCGAGCTCACACATGTAATATATCTCATTTCAGCCAAGGCTTAGGCACTAAGCCTTAATAGTAGTCTAAGCACTAGCCCAGGGGTGGGCAAAATGTGGCCCGGATGCAGCCCACCAGGCCATTCTATCCAGCCCGCAGGGCCCCTAAAAAACTTAGAAAAGTAATATTTATCAGCCCCTGGCTGCTTGTCATGCGGCCCTCAGTGCCTTGTCAAAACTCTGTAAGCGGTCCTCTGCCCAAAATAATTGTCCACCCCTGCGCTAGCCACTCTGTTTGTGGTCTAAGCACTTGCCATCCTTCCATTTTTATTTAGTGCTATGCATGTACTAGTTTGTGAAAGTGAGTAAATGGTTATAACGCTCCAAACAGTCCTGAGAAATTCTTAACATTTAATATTTACCTCCAGGACCCTGGGTAGCTTAATTGACCAGGCTTACCTTTACGTCCCATAATATAAATCCATTGTTGTCAATACATGTGGCACCAGGAAATCCACATTCTCTGAATGATGCTGACATTCAGCATATCTGTAAGTTAAACAGTCTAACCTTTCAGCATAGCTAAATCCTCAGCATTTTGCAGAGGAAGCTGCTAGCAAAACATTGAAGTGAGGTGTTTTCCCCCAAGAATTTAGAAGAGGGAAAAAAAATGCCTGCATGATGCAAATATTTTGGCACCAACCCTAATGTACTGTCCTAATCATGAAAAAGATTCTCAGAATCTGCAGTATACAGGTAAAACAAGGCTTCACTCCACACTGTCAGCATCTAGGACTGGTGTTGGATTAGAAATGTAAGGAAATCCTTGGGCTTAGTGGCTTGGAAATGGTACTGCTTGTGCCTGCAGAGAAGATCTGGGTTCAAGAATGATGACCACACAGGGATTTTGCTGATGAAACCCTGGCCTCTGATAAACAGGGGCCTGACCTTGATATAGGAAAAGTTATCCCCGGCTGCTAGTCAAGCTCCCTATCCATGGAACAGTATTGTTGTATGGCAGTGGTCACTAACCAGTGGTTCTTGATCCATCGGTAGATCTTGGAGCCTCTGGCGGTAGATCTCAGAGCCTCTTGGAGTTGATCCAAGGCAGAGGTGGGGGGCTGAGTGCCCGTGTGCATGCATGCGCACGCCGCAGCCTAGCAGGTCAGTTCGTGGGGGAGGGAAGGGGCGAGGGCTAGATCGAGGTCCCTGTGGCGAGGGACAGTGCCACAGAGGTAGGAGCAGGGGTAAGTTGAGTGGGACCCCAGCCAGTGAGACTTACCTTCTAGGGGAGGTGTGCCCCCAAATAATTTTTTCTGCCTTGATCTGCCCCCCCCCTTCCCTCCCCACAGCCTTGGGAGTGGGGGGCAGGTCACGGTAGATCCTGGGTTGCTTTTAAATGCCAAAGGTGATCTTCTACTTAAAAAGGTTGGAGACCACTGCTCTGTGGGCATGGAGCACTTCTGGAGTTCTGGGCTTTCCTCTATAAAGATCTTCTGCTTGCCACAGTGAAAGGAAACATGTCAGAGTAGGTGGAGTGAATTGGGAAAGACTGGCATCTGTTTTGTTATCTGCCACTTGCCCACCTGTACAACAGAAGAAATGCAACCAACAACTTGAAAGGAGTGATCAAACTGGCAGGCACCCTGACTGACTGGGTGGCAACTCTCTAAACCTGATTAGGGCCAGCCTTATGTGGAACAGGGAGCCATAAAGAGGATCAGGAGGGCTAGGAAGATAAAGGAGGGAGAATGACTCATCAAAGGGGTAGAAGGAGACAAGAATGGGGATGACATTTCCAAATTGGTCTGCAAATACTCTGGGAGCTTTTTCAAAGAGTTACAGCAGACAAACTGTAGCATTATTTGTTACCATAGGGCATCTTTACACATGTTCCGGGGTGGAGGGGGTGCTTTAATTAGAGCAACTCCGAGAGCCACTCTAATTAAAGAGCCTGCAGCATCACGTGCATTCAGCATCCCACGCTTCAAAATGGTCATGGGGGCGCTTGAACTAAAGCTAGTTCAGCAAGCTTTAAAGTGCCCCTGCTGCCTTTTTGAAGCATGGGGATGCTGAATACATGTGACACAGAGACTGTAAGAGCGTGCTAATTGCTGTGCTCCAGCAGACTCGATTAATTAGCATGCTCCAGCAGACTCAGTTAGAGGCGGTGCAGTCACCTACCCTGGAAATCTCCAAGAGGAGACTGGACGGTCACCTTGCTGTGGTCACCTGACCCTAGTTGTCTTTCCTGCTTGGTGCAGGGAGCTGGACCCAGTGATCTTCCAAGGTCCCTTCCGGCCTCAGTCTATGAATCTGTTAATCAAGCCTGCTTCGATGTGTGCTAATTGGCATGCATTGGAACAGACGTCCAGCACGTGTCTAGGTGCCCATAGTGCCTAGGAGCTCAAATCATGAACCAGGCCCACGTGGACAAGCATTGAGCCAAAAGACTGTCTGCTCCAAAGGGCTTTTAAGGCGAGATGGCTGATGGATGCTGAGAGATGAAGGAGTGAAAGGAAGTGGTGAGACAGAGAGCAGCCTGACAGGGAAGGGCACTGTTGAGGAAAAAGTGTCCTTCACCCACCTTGTTATATTCTGTAAAAGCTGCATCTCGGACCTAACTGCTGTTCATGTTCTGTCACCAGGTAGAAAACGAGACCAACGTCCTACAAGATGGCTCTCTCATTGACCTGTGCGGAGCCACCCTTCTGTGGAGAACAGCGGATGGCCTCTTTCACACCCCGACTCAGAAACACATCGAAGCCCTGCGACAGGAGATAAACGCTGCCAGGCCACAGTGCCCCGTTGGGCTGAACACTTTAGCGTTTCCCAGCATTAACCGCAAAGATGTGGTGGAAGAGAAACAGCCTTGGGCTTACCTCAGCTGTGGCCACGTTCACGGGTATCATAACTGGGGACATCGCAGTGACACAGAAGCCAATGAGCGGGAGTGTCCCATGTGCAGAACCGTTGGGCCCTACGTGCCTCTCTGGCTTGGTTGCGAGGCAGGGTTTTATGTGGATGCCGGTCCTCCAACTCATGCTTTCACCCCTTGTGGACACGTGTGCTCTGAGAAGTCGGCAAAATACTGGTCTCAGATCCCACTGCCTCACGGTACTCATGCATTTCATGCCGCCTGCCCTTTCTGTGCAGCACAGCTGTCTGGGGAGCACAACTGCGTCAAGCTAATTTTCCAGGGTCCAGTTGACTGATACCATTTTGCAGATGACCACAATAACATTTTCTTTGTTAACAATTTACTGTGAAGATTTTGCCACTAACTCTAGATTTTACATTTTTATAATGTTATTAATCGGGTGATGGGGGGAGGGCTGTCGGGGAGGATGTTGAAGGGTGGGGTTAACACGGGGATACATTGATACCTGGAACCTGGCAGATATCAGTGGTGTTGCATGCTCAACAGCGGCATATTCATGAAGTTGTCTCAGTCAAATTGTAGTATATTTGTAATCTTTTTATTAGCACCCTTGATCAGAGAAAAAGATGTCTTAACGATTTTTTTAATCCTTGGATTTTCTAATGGAAGGGTTTTTTCATCTAAACTTTGACAAGCCTTTAAAACCTATTTTTCAAATCAAGAAAGAACATGCAGAATGTAATTTGTCTTTCATTTGCAATGTTATTAACTTGAACAGTTTCTCAAGGAGCCAACGCAGAATGCACGGACAGCTGCAGGTGAATGTTCACAAGACACAACTGTCAATTTGGGTTGAGACATGAAAGATTAGCTGCAAAAATTGTTGCATATATAAAGCTGTTAAAATTACCTGTTAGGATAAAATACAGCTCACCAAAAAGGATTGAGGATTACTTGAAACTGGGGAATTCCTGTTTGCTTTGATTTCCTTTCAGTATAGTGGATAACCAGTATTCGTGATATACAGTTGATCTTTTTTAACCTGCATCTGGTGCAACTGAATTACTTTTACATGCTGTTGTTTAAGCCTTTTACAAGACTTTCTGTATACTTGTAGCTCTGCCTTTGCTTTCTTTCTGCTTGGTGTAGTTTTCCCCTTGCTGCTTACTTGCATGCCTGGAGCAATTGGGTTAATGAAGGTATAGCAACCCTTTAAAACTGTACTAATGAAGGGGTAGCACTGCAGTTAATAGAAAGAAAGTTGAGGTACTGTTATACAGAACGTATGCACATAGACCTGAATCTAGTAAAGCACTTGGCATGTGCTTAAATTTAAACATAAATAGCCGTATTAACTTCAGTGGAACTACTGGTATTAAGTGCTTCACTGGCCTGGGGCCACATACTGCTGTCTTTTGAAATACAAAAGTCTAGTTGAGAATAAGCTACTATTTTTTAAGCTCACTTACTAGCCACAGTGCTGTAAGGAGAGCATCCTTCCTACTCTAACTGCAATTTTTATTCCTTTTTTGACTTACTGCCACCTGTCACCATTCCTTGCAGCCTGAGAAGTGCTGGTCTCCTCCCCCCCCCGCATAATTGTTTGTAAATCAAACAAAATTCAAATGTAATCATTAAATACACACATCAGAGTGGTACATCTGCAGTAGATGATTTGAAATTTCTATTTTTTTTTTTAAGAGAGCAAATAAATGTTTACTGTGGAAATAATTAAATCAGCATTTCATATGAGATCTACCATACCACTCTGTCAGCGTTATTTCATTTAGAATAATAATTCTTTGATCCTTGCTCTCTGTACTCGTAGTATCTGAGGTATCAATCTATCCAGGTTGAAAAAGACTTTGGGAGAAAATCATCACGTCTGAAGTGACACTGATTACTCAAAACTCAGTTCTGTTAAACCGATTGCAGCTTTTTTTTTTGCTATATTTGTGCCCTTTGTATAAATATATAATTTATATGATTTTAATATATTGTGTATATATATACTTGAATTGGCCTGTTCATATTTGGGTTGTAAAATTGTTTTATAGTTAACCTTTTAAACATTTTAAATGTCCTTCACCTATGGAGACAGGACATACCTTGTCTGCTGCTGTTTAATATAATTTTGCTGTATAAAATTCAGCATTTTAATAATTTGAAAATAGCTTTACTTTTTCTTTTGCTTAGTTTTTCAGCATCCTTCTTTTTTGCTGTTAACGTTCTGTTTATTCTGCAGTACAAATCCCAAATGGTCCGGTTTGCTCGTCCCACTCAGCGATTGGAAATAGGGCAAATCTTGTTCGCCTCGAACTCGACGCCTCTTCCTAGTGCCTTTTCTCTGAGATCATCTTGTGATTCTGTATTCAGAGTCCTTACTTCCACAAGGCAGCCTTGTGGTTAACGCTCCACCAAGAAGGGTAATTCAGCCAGACGGGAAAAAAAGTTGCTTTCATTTCCGGCATAACTATAAGAGGGTGCCTCTTCCCTAATCTGTCTTCAGCATAATTTCCTCAGGTCCCATATGCATCCTTTCTACTGAGCATATACCTCATCTGTGGAAGCAGGTTCCACCTTGTTCGTACTGGACTTTGTTACCGATGGATCTTTTTGTCACAAGAGTTCACAAGTGAAATCACACTTTCAGGTAAAAACGTGTATTCTTGTCTCCATGTCACAAGACCTAATAATTGTCAGTAGAGAGAAACACTGATAGTCAGAGCCTTAGAGTTTGTTTGTAGGTGGTTCCCCCTCCCCACCCCCCAAAAAAATCTTTGCACTCCTAGGCCAACAGTACACCAAGATGGTAACCCTTCTGTTAGGCTTGTCTGCTCAAGAATTGCATGCATCGTTTCTCCACCAGGATTAAATAATCTGCAGTTGTACTGTTCCATAGCACCTCCAAACCAAATCATTTTCTGTTCTTCTTTGTCTTTATAACCTAGATGGGGGAACTGACCCCCCCCCCGTTTCCTGGCACTGACAGACTTGTGCAAAGTGGTTTTAACAAGTTACTCTTCTGACTTGCAGTATTGGCAAACGCACCTTGCTAGAGTGTGAACGATGCTGAAATGACTAGCTTTGCAGTATCCCTTTTAAAGACCGTGTCCCAGCTGGGACCGTACAGTCCCTCCATTCTTGTTGTCTGCAGGCTTGAACTAACGCAAGAAAAACTGCGAGAAGAGAAGCAGTGTCCTATTTGGCTGGGAAACCAATTTACACAAGTTCCTTTGACTCCAAGAAATCCTTCCCTGACTAGCGGTTGGAGTTTCAAGAGTGTCTTCCCACACCTGCATTTGTGTGGAGTTAAGTGGCTTGGAGGAAAATCCATTTCTTTCTGGATTAATGAGATTTGTTTGGTGTTAGTGTCCTGTCGCAGGGATGGGTAAACCTGCCAGCCAGCCCCCCACCACATAAAAAGGGAACTTGCAGAAAATATTGCATAAGTAGCACTTTTTTTTTACCAGTTACTTTGTCAGCTCCACATGAGTACAAGTTAGAGCTATTTGAAGCACAGCTAACTCAAAAGTATTTATCTAGTCTGTCTGTCTTTTTCTGCCCCTTAAATCTCTGCTTGTCAGCTTGTGCAAGCTGGAGTTCGAACATTCTCCTCTTTTTAAGCAGCTTTTTGGAAAGCGTGCTAAAGTTAACACTCAGAGTTCAGTATTAAGCTTACTTTTCTTGAATTTTGGTCCAAATTAAGCAATTTTTGGTAGAGTAATGCATATTAATCCTGACTATTTTTAATTGTGAAGAATGGTAATTTTGTGCCTCAGGGTAGCCTGGTGTAGATAGGGAACAAATCCTTTCCTTTTTTTCTTCTTTTTCTGTGGGATGGTGGGGAGGGAAGTGGGAAAAGGAGGAGAAAGCCATGGACAACAGACTGGCTCTGTTAGGAGCAGCAAACCAATTCTGATGCAAAAACAAGCCAGTACATGATTGTAGCTGAGTTGAATTTTTTTTTTGTCATGCATCTTTTAGAGTTGATTGTCCCAGTATACTTGGAAATTAAAAGAATCCTTTTTAGCAACAAGACCCACAGAGGCTTGTTGCTGTTTTGAACAAAATAATGTTTTGGTACTCTTCATTCCTGGGTCTGGAATATGAGGCACCTGGGTAAGGGTCTGGCCAGGGTGCAGTCTCAGTTTTTGAGAGACGGTGTTGTATGTCTGTGTGTGTAATTTTTTTTTTCACATTT